AATTATAAATACATTTTTAAAAAACCTTGAAAGTCACACTCTCACTGCAACCCTGGGACAGCTTGAAATTCTGTGCAGAAAGGTTTGGGCTGCCTTTGGCTGCCCTAATTTGCACATTAGTTGATACTTTACACTTGAATGAACAATGTGTGTCAAAACCTCAAGGCTTCCAGTGTGATTTGTCAAATTAGATTAACCGTGCAGTCCGACACAACTTGAAAATAAGCTTCATTGTCTTCAGTGCTGCTTTTTACCATGCAAGTTTTTCTAGGTTTTTTTTTTCATGCTAAGAGCAGATTCAAGGGTGAGAATTGGAGTCATCTAGTATGACTCTTTACCCTTCTCTCTCCATCCTCAAATATTTTGGTTTCCTAAATAGGCTCCACCTGCATTTGAAGGCTTTGGAAGAAAACCAACCTGGTTTTGTTCACTGTCAGATGAAATTCCATCAATTGGTATTGACTTTCCCCCTAACACTGTAATCCTTTACACCAGGGGTCTCCAATGTTTCTGGGAATTGAAGTCTGCCAGGCTTAAAGTTGCCAAGGTTGGAAACCCCTACTTTATATGGTTGAAAACAAATTCCCTTAAAGAAAGGCCTGATGATTAAGAAAGTATGCATACGATTGGGTTGCATAAATTTTCAGTTTTGTCACAGCAAAAACAAAGAAACAAAAATGTTACATTATGCCTTCTTTCTTTTCTTTCTTCTTACAAAAACTTGGGTGTTTTTTTTTTTTTTGGAGGGGGTGGGTTATAAATCTTAAGGCAGCCAAGCAATTTACAATATTTTAGGTTGTAAAACTAAATCAGCGATTTTTGATGCCAGCAATGCTAGATTCTTTATGGATCATCACAGAGATTTGGGAATAGGAGGTGCTGGTTTGACATTCAAGGTAGACTTCCAAGTGATGTCATTTTGAGAGAGTTCTTCAAAATGGTATCCCTGAAGGCTCAATTTTGTCTCTAGGAGCTTACAGTGCTTACATAAAATTGGGAAATCATTAAGAGATCTGAAGCTGGATGATGATAGATTTAATGTTAGTTAAGTCTGGGCCTCTCTTGAATGTCTGCCTGCAGGATAATTTTGTAAAGTGAGATTGAATTTAGATAATACTAGACAACCTGTGACTCATCAGGTCATTATTTCGGAGTGATTTCCTTACCAGATTCCTCAATGTCTTCAACAATGGCAATGCATCCAGTGTGCTTCCTTCACTGGAACAGTTTTTTTTTTAAATCCAAGGACATATTCAGAGTGACATCTGCCTTGAAAATAGCCCATGTTCAACTATACAGCAAACTCAGGAGTTGACCACAGGAAATGTCTCATAACATTTTGTATAAAATGTCTTAATGATATTTTTTGTCATAAAACATTTCATAAAGTGTCAAATTTCAATTCCACAAGAATCATGGGTCCTGTATTTTGGATGGATTCTGTAAGTTAGCCCATTTGAGGTATCTTGATTCAAAAAAATTAATATAGTCCTTACATTCACACAACATTTACTGAGATAATTTGAGGAGCCTTCTCTGTAGCCTTCCAGGCCTGTGAATGTTCTCCCTTCTATTGGCTCCTTACTATTCTTATGAAAAAAAAAAATTGAAAAAAAATGGTGAAAGAGGGTTTTCATATGCCAGTATTTAACTACAGTTCTATGTTTTTATTGTAAACTGTTAAGTCACTTTGGTAATTGGGGACTAATGAGCCTAATATCCAATGTGTGCATGCGTATGTGTTGAATGTGTGTGAGAGAGACATATGTATATTTATTTGCAGCAAAATGTACTTAAGCACTTGTTTCATGTTTCTGTGTACATGCTTTTGCCAACATGCAAATGCTTTTGGTTGAGGAAGAACATAATTTATGAAGTGCCTTTTTTGCTTTATAAAAAATATTCAAACAATTCACCAGATGTCACAAACTGCCAGGCTTTCTGCAGACTGATTTAAAATGCCTTGTAGTCCACTCGCCAACAGAATAAGATAATCTTGCAACATGCAGTCGAGTATGCATCCTTATTCTTTCTGAATAAATATTAATATTTGATTCTCTGTAGCTATTGCTACAAACAACAAATATTATTTTGAAGTTTGTATCGACTATCTGTTTTAGCACTTTACCTCAGGGCTGTCAAACTCCCAGCCCAGGGGCTGGATGTGTCACGTACTGCCCAAGCTCACGCCTGGTTTAGAGAAGGGGAAAAAGTCCTGATACACCACATGAAGCCACTCTGACTATGTGAATTTGACACCCCTGTGATACTAATCTGACTTGTTAAGACTTGGCAGGTTTTACCTTTGGTTGTGCTCCCAATGGAACAGCCATAAATTTGTCATGGTTCTTAAGTCACTTTCAGTGTCAGCCATTAACTAGCAATCTTTGCCATGATTGTGCATTCGTGTTTTAAAGAGGATGGGAAATGGCCATTAAAAATCATGTGGTTATTGAAGGTAGTGCTACTCTACAAGCACTTGGAAGGCAGAATCACCTCCCACCCAACTGTAATGTCTGTTATATCTCTTGCAAGAGTACAAGAGTTGAAATACGAGGTAAAAACAGTAGAGCAACCCTGTTTTGCAGCCAACTCCTTTTTTCCCCAGTTTCTTTATTTAGAATCCCAAAGGAGAGGTTAATCATATGTTTACCTTCCCATTGAGGTTTGCATAATGCATACAGCCATTGTTCAGGTAAGATAATTTACAATAGATCAGGGATGGAAATCATAATTGAGGGGTTTGCTGTGGTCTTGATTTAAGCTACTGTTAAAGCTTGGATTTCACACTAAGCACATTTTGCCATGATTTAAAGCAGTGGTTAATATGAACCCAATCATAGTATCATAAGCCACAGATTATAGTTTAGTGTGCTATATGAATAGAGCCAGTTGTACTTGATTCAATAAGCCATCGCTTTGAGTTGTATTAAACAGTCCAAGATTGATATGCTTGTTTGTCTAATAAGCTTGAAAAGACCAGATTCAGGGACCTGCAATTACGGAAGTTGTCTTACAGAATGTATTCTTGAAATGATTTATCAATGCCACTTTAGATAAGAGACTATAAATATTTATGCAGTTGGTTTGCACAAAACATTAAAAAAAAAAGCCACCAGATTAGTCTGGACTGCACAACACATTAGGCTAAAATGTAAATAGCCGATATGTGACTGTATGCGAGTGCCTCCTCTGACCTTGGGTGTGATAAGATTAGTTACCTTCGGTTGCAAATGGGTTGGGAAGAGCAGCCTTATTTGAAAGGGACCACAATGGCAAAAGGCGATCTAATGTAGACATTCTGTTTAAACCACAAAAATTTTGGAAGTTAATTGAACTGACGATCGTTCACCCTTTTCCAGAGCTTGGCTAATAAATCCCATGTTCGGCATGAAGTCTTTATTCCAAGCCCTCACTTTTTATTCCTTTGCAAGAGTTTGTCGTAGGCGGAGAATGGGTTGCAAATGAAATTGTACTGCACACCCGTATTCGAAAAACCACAACGTGTAGCAACTAGATAACAAAGAGGTCTCTTCTCTGGAGCCTGCTGCCTAAATGGCCGACCCCGCCGTCTTGGGTCGCGTTTCGAGGCTGGCTGTGTGACAAACACAGTGAGTCACAAAGTAGCCCCGCGGCAGTTCAGCCTCGCCGGTTTACGCCAACCCGGGCGGTGCGCTTCAAACTCCCTCCTCTCAGGGAGAAAGGCAGGCCAGCAAAGTGAGTCCGTCCATTCAACCCCGTATCCAGGTAAACGTCAGCTGAGAACCCGGGGCCGCTGGGGAAACCTGTTGAGCCCTCAAGAGGAGGCCGCCTCTCTCCACCCTGCTCTCCCCGGGGCGCCGCCGCGCTCTTCGTTAACCTCGAGGCGCGCCCCCCCCTCCCCGGAGGGAGCGCCTCCTGCCTGCCTGCCAGGAGCCCCCCGCCCCGTCCCCATACCCCCCCCGGTACTGTCCTCGGCTCACCCGCGCCGGAAACAGGACGGCGGTGCAGCCCTCGCCTTATAAAGGCAAAATGCGCCCGGGGGAGGAGGAGGAGGAGGAGGGGGCCACCCGAGCCTCTCGTCGGAGCATCGCCCCCGCTGCGCCTTGCGCCGGTGCAGCCAAAGACGGGGCTTCTTGCTCTGCTGCCTCGCAACACTTTCCATTTTAAAAAAGAGAGAGAGAGAGAGAGAGAAAAAAACACGCAGCAAAACACTTCGCTTCCGCCTCGTCTGCTTACAACCCCCACCCCCTCCTTGATTTCCCTCTGGTCGGATCCGCAGGCGAGGGGAGTCCATGTCGTTGCTTGCGCCCGCCCTGCCGTTCCCTTCCTTGGCTGCGCGCAAAGCCCACCTAGGAGCCCCCTTTGTTTGGGGGAGCCGAGCCCGAGCGCTTTGGACACACAGCGGGCTTGCTTCGCTTTGTCATTGGCTCGGCCTTTTCTGGAGGTCCCTTTCCCACCCTCACCCCCCTCTCCCTTTTTCTCATCCGTGTGCATTTGTGTGTGTGTGTGTGTGCGTGCGTAGTAATAATCGCGAGGCATGCCTAGCACGTCCCTAGCGTTGGCAGGCAGGTTTTGCTGCGCTCTCCGAGCGGCCGCCGCTGCCGCCGCCGCTGTGGCTGTGAAGCACCATGAGCATAATTTTGCCAAAGCGCGCTGAAGAAGTGCACACTCCTCACAGGGCTTTTCTGCAGAAGGAAGCAAGATGGCTGCTACCCTGTGGCTTTTCGCTGTGAAGAATGCCGAGCCTTCCTCAGCCCCGACTTTTGAGCTGGGGGAAAGGTGGTTTGTTTATTTGGGGGTTTCCCCCCCCCCTCACCTCTTTCCTGGTTAACCCTCTTTTCCCCGTGGTGGTGTTGCGGCTGACTTGCTCCTCGGTCCCCGTTTTAAGTCGCGGGAGAAGTCCTTTTGCGTGGTGGTGGTGCCCTGTGAAGTCTTCCGAGAAAGGGGAAAACTGGTTTTTGTTTACTTGACTGGCTTATTCACCCGGGTTTATTTTGCCGTTTGATGTCTTTCTTTAGGTGCTAACTGAAAACAAAAGGCCTCAGAGAAGGAAGCGAAGAGTTCCAAAGGTAAAAAAAAAAAAACAACCTAAAAAACAAACAAACCCACCCCTATTGCTTGTTTTATTAATTGCATTTTTAGAGAAACTGGTCTGGCTCTTAGGATGGAATGAGAAAAGGGGCATGACTCCCCAGATGTTGGTATTTTTAGCTAAATGTAAAAAGCTCACAATGTTTCTCTGTTTCCCTGGGATATGGAACACGGACACTGAATGCACAAGCTGCCAGTTAAAAATCAAGCTGTTCTTGATATTCCTTCTTGTTCTATAAAGGCTGCAGTGGTAAAGATGATTATGATGGAGTAAGCCCTGCTGAATTAATTCAGAATGACTGCTGAAGTAAATATGCTCAGGGGCAGCCCTGGAAATGATGCCTCTGTCCCAAAAAACGACCTTCTTTCCAGGCTTGCACCTATTTTATACCGAATGTTGAAATAATTGTGCTAATGTTCATTTTACTTATGTTCATTAAAATCAATTGTCCCTTCCGTAAAGTTGACACGTTTCGGACAATTGGGGTCTGAAACTGGTAAGTTATCTTAAAGGGCATGTTCTTCAATAAATGAGTGCTGAACTGAAAATGTTTCAAATATTGTGGAGTCATAGAACTAGCAAGTGGGAAAAACCCCAGGACATGTTCCATGTTCTTTGCATGCACGTAATTGACCTCTATAAATGGCTACCTTGTTCTCTTTCAGTGATTCAGGGAATTCCTGCACACGTGCTGAGGAAATCCCTGTTTACGATGGGGAATCCCCACCCCATAATAGAGAATTTGGGCCCCTCCCATGCTGCGTGCTATTCTAGCCTTACAGAATTCTAACTCTTGGCCAGGGTGTTTCGTGTAGCGCTTTGACGGTAAAAATGTATCGCACCCAATTGTTGGTATGTTTTCTTATTGGGATGTTTGCCTGGGTCTCTAACGTCATGGTATGGATTGCTTGGAAGCGTGCGTTAAGTTTAAGGCTTTAAATCCTAATGACTATTAAAGTAGTTGTTTTTTTTTTAGTAATGATACTTTGTTAAAGTGATGGAATACAGTAGTAGTTATGAGTATTTTTTTGCCCTTGCCACTTGCAAATCATTGTTTAAAAATTGTGAAAATAATTCATTGGGCAAAATAGATAATACAGATATAAAGCAGATATTCTTTAAAAATTTAAGATAATGCCTTTGCATTCACTAAAATCTCCAGATACGGCTGCAATTTATGCAGACTTATTTAGGCATAACATATAATAAGTGCACTGGGGCTTATAAGTAAATATGTATTAGACTGTATTGTTAATTAGTGAAATTTTCAGAGTTCCATTTTCAATGTGAATTGGGAAATACTGCATCTAAATTTCTAACATGTTGTAGCTTTTACTGTGTTCTTTTCTGAATTTGATCAATTTACCTGTTCTTTTAGAGCTGTGATTTTTGATTGATTTATTTAATGAACCAAACAACAAACAACAATTTAAGGAAGAAAACAATAGATTCCTTGTTCTCATTCAACAGTTTGCTTTGCTACCAAGAAAGAGCAAACTAAATAGTAATTAAGTGAATTAACTTTCCTTTATCCTGGCGAGACAACATTTGGAATAATGTATCTGGTTCTGAACACCAAAAGGGATGGAGAGAAGTGAGTGAATTCACAGGAGGAGTTCCAAGGTGGTGAGATTATTGGTAGCCCAGCCTTACGAGAAATTATTAAATGACCTGGGTATTCTTATTTATAAGATTTTTAATCCTGTCCTGATTTTCTTCTTTCGCCTCCTGTTTTCCCCATAACAACTCTGTGAGATGGGTTAGCCTGAGAAAGAATGAATTGCCCAAAGTCGCTCACTTGGCTTTCATGCCTAAGGTGGGGAATGAGCTCCTGATCGCTAAGTCTGCGCCTTAAACGCTACACCAAACTGACTCTCTAGATAGCCTGCAGGAGAGAAGCTGGATGGGGGGCTATGTAGCGTAGTCACTGGATATCTGAAAAGTTCTCATGTAGAAGGGGAAGGAGATATTCCCTGTCCCTTGAGGGAGCAGGACCAGGACCAGTGGGTTAAACGTTGCAAGAGTTTCCTGAATGTACAGTATAAGCTTTCAATCAGTGGAACAGACAATGCAGGAGGTTGGACTAGATGACCCCTGATGTTCATGAGATTGTAAGAAAACAGAGCTCATCCCTATAGCCCTGTTGATATGAATTCTGCTACCTTAGCAGTGTACTACTTATTGTTTGCATGGATCAAACTTAGTAAAATTGCTGCCCTTAATATGAAGGCAGTGATGTTCAGCTGTTGCTGCTACTCTTAACTGGGAGTAGTAATTCCAGAGTCTTGTGGAGTTGGATGGTCTTCTAACCCAATGAATAAATTAATCCCATGCTCCTTAAGAAGGAGTTCCTGCTTCTGGTTCCCATGCTTTTGTTTCCTGTATCTGCTTGCTAGTGTAATATTGCATTGTTTGCAATATTTGATCTCAAGTTGTGGGATTGGTGGGCTGATGAGCCTTGTACGACATTATTAGTGATGAGGCTTTGTACATGACAACCATTATGAATAATTAGACAAATTAATCTCTTTGGTTTCCTGGTTACATAGTAATTGGAGCCGTGAGCACATTGCTGAACATAATATTTTGCAGTGACTCCACTTTGCTTGTTGACTCCATTCCATTTAGAATAAGTGCTTGCAACTACTGGAAAAGCAGGTATTCAAACACAGGTCATGATCTACTCATTGCAGCTTCTTCAGTAGAAATGTCAATCTGATGGAATGTCTTCTGTTAGTTGACATTCCCCTGATAATAAGTAGGGTGTCTTAAAATTAAATTTTGGTCATGTGGTTAAGACACCAGGCTAGAAATTGTGAGACCATGAGTTCCAGTCCCACCTAAGCCATGAAAGCCAGCTGGTTGACCTTGGGCCAGTCATTCTCTCTCAGCCCAACTCGCCTCACAGGGTTGTTGTTGAGGGAGAATAGGAAGAAGAAGGTGTTTTGGGTGTGTTTGTTGCCTTAAATTATTTGTAAAAACAACGAAGGCAGAATACAGGCAAACAAACAAATAATAGGATAAATGGATGAACGCACAATTGATATTGTTAGATTAGTCTTATTATGCATAGAGGCTGCAATCCAGTGTTCTTGCAGTAGCCAGGTGGAAAGAAATGTTAATAATTGGGCAATAATTGAGTTGAACCCTAACCTTAGCACAAGGCCTGAGTTCTTAGAATGCATTCTAGAATATGAACATAAGCAAATGTCTGGTAATTTCTATTTAGCCAAGCTGGTGGAAAAAAGCACTAATTCTGTTCTCCAGGAACTCCAGAAATTGAATCTAGCTGTAAACTCCCTTCTAAATAGCTTCATTGTGTGATGGATGATCTGTATTAAGAAAGAGATGGGGGAATTTTGACCCAGTTGTCATCTTTGATTTCTTAAATGGTTTTTTATTCTATTGATTGTAGTATTTTTTTAGATGCTTGACGAAAATAGACACGGCACTGCTTTTAGTGTTGCTTTTTTATTCATTTGAATAATGGAAAGTTTTGCTTGGCCCTTTGGGAATTATTCTGTAAGGGGCATTATTATTTAGGAATTGAGAAGAATCATGCATGGATTTTGTGCTAAGTGCCATTAGTATTCTGATAGTACCCAACCTTAAAATGTAATAGTTTAGGTGGTGAATAAGTACTTTTGTAAGATGTCACATCCCTGGATTGGTTGCACTGATAGTTTCCAGGAATAGTTCAAGTCTTCACTTCTTATGATGTGGGAAGACTTCTGTAATTTGGGCCTTGTTTTGCAAGAATGTCTACATCTGTGTGATCTGTCTTAACATTTAGATGTTCAGTGGAGTACCACACATCTGCTTAACAGCAGCAGCTAAAATCTATTTTTTAGATTTTGGTGGAATTTGGTGCTGGAATTTGAAGCTAGCACTCAACTGGCTTTAAACTTTCTGTTTTAAAAAGTTCTTATGAAGTTTTTTTTAAAAAAAATAGTTTTGTAACTTAGATTTTGGTAATTTACTATTCATATTCATATTGTATATGAATATCTGTTAACTATCTAAAAGCACTAATAGCAATAGCAGCAAATAAAATTTAAAAAGCATTTATTTGTTGAAGGTTATTGAAGTAATACTTAAGTTTACATGATATAAAGTACTTTTATAGGATGCAGTAATTTTGAATTTGTAAGCAGGGTGAGTTTTATTTAAATAACCTACATTCTTATTTGCATTGTGATGTAAATCAGTAACTAAGAAAACCTAATATGTCATAATTCCTAATAAATGCAGTCTTGCTGCCTAATGTAACTAATGTAGCTATTCCTATGTACTGAGATGGATAAAGCTTTTATAATAAGAAGTTGATACCACATATAATACTTACTTAATAAGTTTATTTCAGGTTAATTTTCATTTAATATTGAACCATGATCATAGCAGGTGTTTCCTTATCTTATTGATGAGCATAGTAATATCATTAAATTACGGTGTGTTTTATGGAGTCTACTTTTTAGATCAGCAATACAGTAATACAGTATCTTCAAAGCCTCAGGACCATATTCTTTATTTTTGATTGACTTTTTATTCCTCTTGCATTTGTATCCATTTTTGCCTTGATAATGCCACCACCTCAAATTCTCTGTTCAATAATCCTAATGAGAGCTCAGTTACCCCTTTGGTTAATCTCTCCTACCTCCATATTAATAAGAAGCAAGTTGTTTGTGATATAAGGCTTTTACCGTAGTAATTTTAATTTAATTTCCAAGAAAGTAGCTATGTTGATCTATTGCAGGAAAAACAAAATGTATCTAATGAAATGAGCTGCAATCTACAAATGTTTTATGTTATAATAAGATAAGAAGAACTGAAGTTATCAGAACAAAGTTAAACAAACAACTGGGCAGATATGAACTGGTTAGATATGAACTTTCAGGGCATTGAAAAGTATGGCTAAAATTCATTTTTTTGAAAAAGGTGAGAAAAAGCTCTAGGATTTCAACCATAGGTTAGTCAGTA